TTGAAGTCTTTCCTCTCTACCAAAATACAGGTAAAATATCAAAATCAGAGTCACAAACACTATACCAGTTCCAATTCTGATGAAAAACTTCATTTTGAACATCTTTGTTTGATCAAGATGGAAACCGGTCATAGAGTTTTCCTTACTCCTTGATTCATGCTGTACTTTTTTTCCTTTCTTGGTAAAAGGTGGACTGGGTGGAAATAGTTACTCTGTGTGCCTGCGATTTCTTTCTCACATGATGATATCTGAAAAAAAATTAATCAATATATCTATTTTAAATGCCATACTTCCCAATTTTTCAATATAATGTAAAAGAGACTCTTATATGTGTATATCAAATTCCTCCGAGATCAAATATCAACAACATCAACAACTCTAGTATAATGTAAGTTAAATAACCGCACAGAGCAATGGAAAACATAATGTATGCATTAAAAAAACTTCCAATGACATTAAAAAAGAATTTTCTAATTTGCAGATGAATATGAACTTTCCTCAGGCTCTTCTCCCAGCTTTAACAAGGTCCATTCCTCAAAGCACTTAAGTACACATATTTATAACATGAAACACTTCTCCAGGCATTTGAATTAAACATTGCACTTAAACAACCAACAAACGTCCATTTATCTTATTCTATGTCAAATTTAAATGTTTGTTTAATACAAGAATAACCCTGGTTTCAAGCTTTTATCAGTGGGACATTCCTTATACTGGGTATGTATCACATTGAGAGAGAGCTCTATCATTTTTTCACTCCAAAAGAATAATAAAATCACAGTGCAAAATAGTTAATACATTGATATTTTGCTGTCAGCTGATGTGCACATCCATTTCGACATGATCAGCTGCAAAAGAAACAAGCACCTGGAGGAGATTTCCATGGTAACACTTACCTACTTAATTGGTCCTTAAATATGCACTTATACCATAGCTTCTTTAATACTTCTCAGTTGGTAGATATTTCATCTCATTGGAAAAGACAGAACCTAACTGTGACCTGACTTGCTCCTAAAACAGAGAAAGACACTTTAAGTCCTGCTCCCTCTTAAGATATAAATTCTGCAATGGATGGCACATTGAATCTTGACTCTAAGGAACTAAGTCATAAAATAAGGGAAAAGTTTTTCTCATTTCATCTTAGATAGTGTAATGGACAGTATCCCTGGGTCCCTGTGTTCCGAACTACAGGAAGAGCAATATTTCACTAATCTGATGAATGCGTGCTTTGTAACCTTATCTACCTCTATCCCCACACCTGAGGTTTAATGTGCTCATACTTAAAATAATCCACACCTTATAGGTCCTCGTACTAGTATATTCACAGGAACTAGGAAAACTTCAAAATGCCAAACTGGGTGTTGATTAAAGGTCTCTGACATCAAACAGCAATCTTGTTAAATCTACACAGGAAATCTCTTACAGAGTTAAAGAAAACTCTGATGAGCATCTAGGCCAGATGAAATTCCTGAATATTCCATTATCTGTCCAAATCTTGTAAACAAGAACACACGTCAGTCGTTAATGCGCTCAAATTACAAAATGTGTGCTTTCAAATTTTGATTACACAGTACAGTAACAGCCTTGTTAAGAGCGTATACGTAGAGCACTGAGGAAATGAATTGCTTGCTTGCCTTAACTACAAAAATAGCCTTGGCATTCAATTCCTCTAATAAGTAAAAATAACTTTAACATACAGGTATTCAATTCAAATTCCAACCCTCTTTTTACAATAAATATGTAACTTTGCATTTTACCCATAAGTAATTAAATCATACCCAAAATTCATCTTTGTTTCTGTGTATGACGTGGATACACAATTTGACTTTACTTTAAGAGCTCTATCTTCCTGCAGCCTTGATAACATTCATATTCCAGTGCTATAAATCTTTATAAGAGTACATTTCCTCTCCATCATTTCACATCACTGATAAAACTTCCAAATAAATTTCCACTTAATTTGAGGCCAGTGAGGCAATTTAAACACCTGGTTCTATAAGATAAATATGTCACTTTTTTTTCTTTTCTTTTCAAAAATTATCAAATTATGGACCATCCTTACCTTTTCGAAAATTGGCAAGTTTGAATAGTTATATAGTCTAACAATGTGCCATAAACTTTTCAGCTTACTGGATATTTGAACTGCCAGTTTTTTAAAAACTACTAGTTCGAGTCAGGATTCACTGGTCTGAATAAAAACTCCTTTATCCCCAAATGCATTAATATAAGGAATAACAAAAAAATTGATTTTGCCATTTTTTTTTAGAATCATCATGTGATAAATACAATTCAGAAGAAAAATCAAATCAAATCAAAAGCTCTTTTGTAAAATCATTTATAGACAAATTGCAATGTTGGACCACTAAATTCACCCTTTTTGAAAAATTAACTGGCTGAATGGGCTTCCTTGCTTAAAATTCCATGTTTACCAACATCCCCCCCCCCCCCAAAAAAAAAAATCTAACAGTCACAGGTATTAACTTGCATCTATAACTTTATGTTTTTCACAGATACATTTATAAGGGAAATGCAATCTGAAAAACCACCCTTTTATGAAATGAATCTCTTCAATGGAAAGAGGCATGTAAACCTTAATAAACAAACTTTCTAATCTCAGTTAATCAAAGAATAAATATTAAAATAGGTGAAAATGGAATCAAGCTAGTTAGGGGTACAGGGCTCAAGTTCACTATGAAAAACATATATGACCGTACATGTTATGCATCATAGTACACAATGATTTTGTTATGATCACCTACTACTGTATGCCTTAATATACATGTATATACACATACCTCACAAAAGTGCATCTGATCATATTTTGCACATATATATATATATCAACACATACACATTTACTAATTCACCAATAAAATGTAAGAACATTTAATTCTACTCTGGCAATTAATGTTTTCAAAGATCCATTTGCTAATTTTAACCATCTTTTCTTTAAGCACTTACTTTTGGTTACCTCCACACAAAAGTTCATTTAAAAAACTAAGCAGCCTAGCTAGCTGTTACATATGTTATCAGCATTAAACTTGGGCATAAAAAAATTACCGAAATATGCTGTTCATCACCTATTCTACCGTCTGACACTGGTTTGTGTTGTTATTTCATTTATGGAGTCTGGTCAACACAGTTTTTAAGCCTAGAGCAATGCGTCTTTTAATAAGGCTGACCCACCACACAGCTGTATGGACAGATATTAGATAGCAATGAATTTATATGGCGATGACACCCCCAAACTGTTCCAGTGTTCTGATACACTTAAATTAGCAAATGTACTCAGCTGGGTGTACCCTGAACCTAAGAATCTTAATCTATTACAAGCTACAATTCAGTGAAACAATTACAAAAAGTTTCAGCAGCGTAATGTGGTCAGCGCTCTCAAACCCATGCAGGGTGACTGGGAAAGGCACTCGCAAGCAGTGAACGATCACTGGCGGATCGCACGCCTGTTTAACCTTATTTAACCTTATCTCAGACTGCGACATCTAACGATCTCTCTCTAGAGCATTCATCAATGAATTAAACGTTAACAAAAAGCTTTTCAGCCTCGTTTTTTCTTTCTTGAGACTTACATTTAATCAGCCCACAACACCGAACAAGCGGCTTGGCACGAACCGCTTGGCTTAGTTCTTTATTTATTGAATAGAGGGCGCAGTGAGCACAGCTTGTCTTGGCTAGATTTTGTATTTGTTCTGTGTTGTAGTAAACATGAAGCGCCACCTATAGATCTGCTTAATTGCAGGTGACGCCAAAGAAATGTGATGGTGGACTTAGGGAAGCAGACTTATGTACCTTGGATTAAGAAATCAAGGTGATTTATATATCGAATGTGAGGTTTTCCTTTCAAAATACGGTGGTTATTGAACAGAGGTGAGTTACACTCGTGTCTGCTTTTATTGCCTCCAAGAAAAATAGCATAAACATGCGAATCATTTTCAACATTTAAAATGCACTGTACTGAATGATAATTGGAGACGTCGCCATTTTGTAGTGGGTTGGATCAACTTCATTTAACCTTGCTGAGAATTACAAACAGTACACTTTCTACGCTGTTATTTACTGGTCAAATGAATTTGATTGGAAAAGAATGGCAGTTTGACACACATGGCAGAGAGCCAATATGTGAAGTCCTAGGTGACATTTCAATAACTCAAGTAACAGTGAAGCTGTAACAGGTTGTGACTCCTGGAGTGTTTGTTTATATTCATCATAAATAGTGAGCCTCTCAGTCACTCATAGTTATTCACTTTAACCAGAAAAGTTATGTTTTATGAACTTTTTTTTTTACTTGATGCTCATAGACAAATTGGACTTTTATTGTGGGATAAGTTTTAGAACTAAAAAATGCTCCATTGTGTGACCTGTTGGGGAGTCTTTTTCTGTTATACCTTTTTGGCATATTGTGAAAGTGCCAGTTCACTTTATCCAGATTGTGGACATTTTTTTTACCAGCGAATAAAGGGATGATCAATGAAATTTGTTGGATAAGAACCAATACATGCACATGCAAAGCAAAGTTCTCTGGGATAAAAAAAACTTCTTAAACAGTAGAAATCAGTTACTATATATTCAATTTCAGTTGAAAAACTGGATTAACTGGCTATGAAGAATGATTTTCCACTGAGGTAGAAATCTTTGTCACATGCATTTGCCTGAAGATATTTAAGTTTAGGTGGTTATGGGCCAAGTATTTCAAACAATGCTATTAAGTGAAGTCATTTCAAAAATGTCAACAGTTTTCAATGCTGTTGAATTCATACAATTTATAAATTTTTTCCTTCTTCAATTCAAATGCCAGGGGATGTAATAAACTAAGTTGACCCCTGGAAGCTTGCATTGAATAATGAACAAGATAAGGATCTTTGCACCTCCTCCACCCCCCCAAGTGACCCCCCCTTAATGTGAAATCTATGTTTCATTGCACATGACGAGATTTACATGATAACAAGCACTTCCACAGACCAAATTTGCTAATGTTTTAGAATTAAAATAGATCTAGACTGTTTCTTTGATGGAGAAAGTTAAACTTGAAGTTCAGGATACATTGAATTAAAAGATATATCAATACAAGGAGTATAAAAAAGTTTTTCTTTATGTGATCCTATCAGTATCAATTTCATCTTTTGGAGTGATATTTTAAGTTGTTGAAATAAGTAAAGTTCTTTACTTTGATAGATAATTGTCATCATGCAGTTTTTTTTTCGTTATTCTCTCTCTCTCTCTCTCTCTCTCTCTCTTTCTCTCTCTCTCTCTCTCTCTCATACATGCACGCATAAACACACGATGTAGTGCTTATGAATCATCTTACGAGGCATTTGGGGCTTCAATGTAGATGGTTTCTATTGATTTTGAATTGTTCTGTGTATGTTGGAAGGGAATAGTGATCCTCTTGAGGTTTAGTTAATGATTCCCTGTGGATTGAATGATGCAAAAGATCATTCCCCGAAGAACAACAAGCATATTGGTATGTGGGTATTGAGCTGATTTTATGATATGTAGCATTAGACTATTGAAATCTAATGGAAAATGGTATAATACTGAGGTCACAGATTTGAAGTGAGGAAACATCAAGAGGATGACTGAGTATTTAAGTAGTTTTCTGCATATGTTCATGAAAGTTTTCATAGAACCATCTGGTCTTACAAAGAAGCGTATGGATCAGCCAGGCACTGAGTAATTATAAATATCTGCTCAATTATCCCTAGAGGTAATTGTCAGATACCCTATTGATTTTGCCTGGATAGCTTGTCAGCTTAATCAGGTATCAAATGCACAGATGTTTGAAAATATCATAGATGGTAGCTTATGTTTGTATTGTGTTCCATTCTAAGAAATAGTATGTTGGTATCTTTTTTGATTATATATGTTTTGTATGCACACATTTAAGAATTTGAAATGTTGGTGACTTTGTCTTCTAATATTACAAGTCATGCAGTCATAAATAAGATACTACCCTTTTAATGAGTCTGGCTAGTAATATAAGCCATTTGTCATTGTGTGGTGGCTGATCTATGTTTTTCCTGTTGTAAACCTACTCAATGGTTCCCTCAGGATATCTCCATTAAGACGAGATAGAATTAAGCTGTTATGATTCCATCCCAAGATTCAAGTAGAGAAGAACTTTCTGTAGAAAATGGATGGAAAAAAGGAACGTATTCCAAGTCTAGTGTAACACGTTCTGAAAATAATAGAATTGAAGTTGACAGGCTGTGACCCCAAGTTCTCTCCTACAAAGCTTGAAAGCTGAATGTCGAGAGCAAGGTCAAGCCAAAAAGCAAAATCCTTTGTCATTTGGACACACCCTTTATATAGGTTCTAGCTGTTGACTGGCCAAAAAAATATGGCCCATGATTTTAGTTTATTATTATTATCATTCATTCATTTATAAAGATTATTTGTTATCTCTAGAAGAGCTTAGTCTCTCTTTGTCAAAATTGCAATTTTATTAGTTTTGAAATTATGCAGTTGTGTTCTGCTGTTTGGTATTCAACTCTTATCTTCGCAGCCGACAAAGAACAAAAAGTGACCCACTGAGATACCAAGTAACATTATGTACACACTGGGAAGTTATTGAGACTTTAAATGTTAGTACTTCTTGTTCAACAATTTTGGAATGCTTGGGTTCATATAAACATCTCTGTTTATTGAAATGCACTAGAAATGATGGGTTCAAACATGGCTACTTAGAATGCAGAATGCTTTAATAGTAAAAGCTTAATGACCATAAGAATTGTAGTCCCCCGTAAATAGTTCCTTATCAAAGGAGGCATGCTGACATGCTTGTGGACTGCTATTTGTTCATTTAGATAGAAAATGATTTGGGTTGCCATGACACTGCCAGCACTGATGACGTTCATAATGCTACCACTGAGTAAGAAGCACAGAGGTACGCTGTGTAATTTAGCCTGTTTGTAGGTTGACTGGAGACAGAGTTATTTGTCACTGAAACATTAGACTAAACAATGGGTTTTTTAATGAAGAATGAGCGTGGCAACTATAGCATTTCCATCTGCAAGAGGAGCTTCAGGCTTTCTTGCATGCTGCGTAGGCAATGTGGCAGTTAGTAGACAAGTGATTGCCGTCTCCTAGAACATGTTAGAAAGAAATTGGAGATTGTGCTCCTTCTTTCTTGACTTAGCCAGGGCAACAACTGGAAATGTGAGATGAACTAAGGAGAGAAAAACAACTGATATTTATGACTTGGTTTTAACTGTGATTAAGCAGTGGATGCGATGTGAAAAATGAAACAGTAATTTGAAATTGTAGTACCCTTTCTAAGCAATTACTACAAAGTTATTTTTGTTTTCATTTATGCAGTGATTTATGATAACTTCTATTTAATCTGTATTTTCAGATGCATTTAGCTGAAACATACTGCATGGGTCATTAAGCTGTCTACGAGATGGGGGCAAACATATCTGCAGCAGAGAAACAGCAGCAGAACCAGTCAGTCTCACGAGCAAGCACACTCAATCGCTACAAAGGATTTCAGATCAGCGAAGATATGCCTGTCAAAGAGAAGAAGAAAATTATGTCCAAGTTGGCTACACTGAGGCGTAAGCTAATTCGGGTTCGAAGACACAGTAGATCTTTTGATCACTCAAAGGCCATAAAAGAGCTCACTGCCAACTGGACAACGCGGGAACTGAATGCCCTGGTGGAGGAATATCAAGCACTTGCAGTTTTAAAAGAGCTCACAATTATCTCAAGTCTTGCGAGAGTGCATGCAAATACATACAGAGAAGATTTGTCTAATTTGTATGATTACAAGTACTGTACAGATGTCGATTTGATTTATCGTGGTACATGCTTTCCAGTGCACAGGGCAATTTTGAGTGCAAGGTGCCCATTCTTTCGTAAACTTCTTGCCAGACATCCACATTATGGAGCACAAATACATGTGGATATTAAGACTCCTAACATTGACGTTGTTATGTTCTCAGCACTTTTACGCTACTTGTACACAGGAGAATTCAACAGTGATGAGGCAAAGTTAGATTCCAGCTTGGATCTTTTAGTTCAATTGGGGGATGAATTTGGTACCCCCAATGCTTTAGATCATGATCTGAAGACTCTCTTTGAAATGGGAGTGTATGGTGATGCAGTGCTGGTGTTTCAGACAGATGCAGACTGTCATGATCTTACAACATCAGTAGAAGGAGCATCAGCAGCTACCTCAAGCACAGGTGGAAACAAATACGAAATGCGTTGCCACAAAGCTATTCTTGCAGCAAGGTCTCCCTTCTTTCGCAACCTCTTGCTTCGTCGTGCTAAATCTGGAGAAGAGATGACAGACAGAACTCTACACACTCCCACCAGAATTGTCCTGGATGAGTCGATCATTCCAAAACAGTATGCTCGTGTATTGCTTCATGCCATATATCAAGACACTGTGGATCTTAATTGTATTATAAGAAATAGTACGAGCACATGTAGTCTCAGCGAGGTTCAAGCCATCGTGGCTGGAAAAGGACATGTGACCCATGTGGATGAAGCAATGGAAATATATCAAATTGGGCAGTTTCTGGACTTTCCCATTTTATCTCAAGGTAGGGTTACTTATAAATATTGTAGATGAAGTGCGGTTATCATATTTATTTATCTAAGCATATCTCAGTAATTGTTTAGTTACTTCTTTTGTAGTTTGAGAGATCTTTTTGCCATGTACCATGAAATTTGAAAACAAATAGGTGTACTTCCTTTTTAGGCGAAGCAAAAACGAGTTGCAGGTGATCTTTTATCATAGAGATATTACTCTAGGATGTCTTAGAGGTTATTAAGACCACAGACAGGATGCCTGTTTAGATTTTATCAGGAAAATATGAATATTTGCACATTTATTTTGTTGCAAATGAGAAATAAAGTGCTGCAAATGAGAGAAGATATTGTACATCTTTAGATGTAGCCATGAAAAAAATGAGAAAATTTTTGCCCATATAACATAAATGAAAAAAATAGATGGCATGGCAGAAAATCTTCAGTTTCTGAAGATAGTTCCATCTTGCTTTCTATGTTTAAGTTCAATCTTTAGTTGTGGTTCATTTTTAGTGGACTTCTCAAAATAAAACTTTTTTTATTGAGAAGATCGTTTCAAAGTAGTTTGTTTACAGTACAGTACGTAGAAGAAATTTTTGAAAGGACATCATTTTACTATAAGTAGCTGTCAAAGGGACTTTTTTTTCATGTTTGTGTTTCAACTATCATATGTATATTGATATTAGTCAAGTGTGTATTATAATGTTTTCCTCATTTTGGTCAGCAAGTCATTTCTTATATCGTAGCAATATCATCTTAGAAGTCAGCTGTATATTTACCAAAATCCTTGACAAATACCGAACACAAAAGCTCATAGTTTACTTAAGGCTTGGTGAAGAGGGGCAAACGTTAATCACCATGCCACACACAGTTGATCCAATGGGTTGTCAATTTGGGGACTTTTAATGCTGTTGACAAGACTGGAGCATAGTTATGTTTGCGGCAAGTTTAAAGGCTTAGTGATCAATGACTGGATAGATGTGGAGGTAGTGACATTGAAATTCAATAACTAATGACTGTTGAATAGAGCCGTAGCTTATACAGCCAGAGGCCTATTTTATATTGCACACACAACGGGCTGACATTATGTTATCATTCTTGCCTCGATCAAAGAACAACCCGTTTTTGAATAAGAAACAAAGAACCTCTGAAGTCCAAGTTTTGTTTTTACCTGCGCAGAACTTGTTTGAAAGCTTGATTGTGTGATGCCTTATCAGCCTTCATATCTGAACTGAAAAAAAAAAAAGATGATATTATTTCTATAAAAAGTAAAATCAAATCCAAATTGACATTAGGCCTAGTGTTTGCAACAGTTCAGGTATCCTAATATATAACAGTAGATAATCTTTTCATCTATTAATTGCAGCATTATACTGACATTCTAGTCATCTTAGGTGCATCTCAAGACCATGCACATTATTTCAAAATGACCAAGTCTCCTCTGTCCATTGAATGGCCGAGCTTGGGTCTAGCCATCTTCCTGATGTTATCAGTTGTCAGGTGCCACTGGGGTTATCTGTGAAAGACCAGGGGCAGTAAACTGGCCTAATGGATAGGATCAGCTCACTGGACTGGATAGTGTATATATATTTACATATTAATATATACTAGTATATGCTTATGTGTAAAATGGCAGACAGCAATGGCTCGGCGGGCTCTTTGGTCTTGTCACCCCCAGTTTTGTAATCAGTTTTTTTTTTACTTCTGAATTTGGTGCAAGTTCTCTTAAAAAGGTTACTTTAACCTTTCTCATGATCTGCAGCCCAAACTTAACTGACTGCAGTAATAAATGACACCTCCAAAAAGTATTCACAAATAGCATTCATGGGTACAAGTAAAGAAATCCTAATGCTTTTAAGAGAGCCACATCCATCAAGCAGCAAAAAGCAGGACTTAAATTTGATAACCGACTTTTTGGGTTAATGGAATTAGTGTATATCTGAGTTAGCTTGTAATGGTATCATTGGTCCATACACTTGCTAGTATATTATGATGGCAGTCTTCCTTAAACATTAGTATGCCCCTACTTGTTTGTCCCCATAACCTTCCAAGATCAGTAGTTCTGATAAATAACATTATGTTGGTGCCACTCCAAAAGCTGTTACAAATTCACCAGTTGAAATGCATCCAAAAGGAGCCTAATTGGTTTTGACAAGTTCTTCACTTGGTCTTATTCCGCCACATTACATACAGTATTTTAATATGCATCATACTGTGTCAGTGGTCTGTATAAAAATTGTGAATGTTGAAAGACCTTGGGCTCTCAGATTGATCCCATTATCATTAAAGGTTTTTGTGTTACTTGATGATTTATTGGTATTTACTCAATCTTTAATAATCTGGCCTACAATGTTGACTTTTATGATATTGATGAAAAGTTAGATTGTGTCCAAAGAGACTATAAACACGTTTTTCTGCTTGACGTTTGTCACATTGCTCCTCTTCAGGTTGTGCAATACTAATGTGCCAGATATTAGCAAAACTTTCTTGTGATTTAATATCATGATTTTGTTTACCGTCTGTGATAACGAAATTTGTCACATTTCTCATGTCCAGGTTGTGAGGATATCATAGTGGACAACCTGTCCCTGGACAACCTGTTGTCCATCCTTTCCTGGAGCTCGGAGCCACACGGGTCTCAATGGGTGCACCGCCAGGCACTACACTTCCTCCAGGAGGAGTTCCTACAGGCGGCACATTCACCTATCTTCTACGAGCTCAACAAGGAGTACCTGATTGCTGCCATACAGTCCGACTTTGTGCAGGTTAGTTGGACCACATGGTGAAAGGAAGCATTTGAGATTTAAAGATTATGAAAAAGAATTATACTTAGAATTATTCTAAGAATGAAAGAATTATTCTAAGATGCTTAAAAATGATGAATTCAGATGCTTCATTTGACAAGATTTGAAACAATAGGTAAATCAAGTATTACATTTATGATTTATCTACATTTGTCTGAAGCTAGACAAAAGAAATTAATGGCAATGTGCATTGAGGCTATTACAATCATCAGATATAAAAAAAATGAGATGATTGCAAGAAAGCATTCAATTATATGGTGCCATTTTATGCCTCAGTCTATGTTGATGGTGTAGTGATATCCAGATTTTAAGACCAGGAAATTGATCTGATAAATGACGTCAAAGAATGATATGGGTGTAAACATAAAAAGTGTACTCATTATGATAGTTGCTCTCAGAACATCTGTTCTGGAAAATGTTTATAGTCAACTACATGCCAGTCCCTTTTCAGTTGTGCTTTGTTTGAATGATAACTATGTGGACTTCGGGTTTCATTATTTATCTTCACTATGATTTTGCTTTTATGGTTTCTGAACTTTTTATCATTATATAAAACTTGTCACCGTATCAACATTAACACTTAACGTAATAGCATAAACTATATTTATAGTAGTAATTTGTTTCAAACAACTGTATGTTATACATTTTCATTGTTGCCATTGTTAATTTTTTCCCTGTAATTTGCAGGCTGGAGAGATGGATATTTTAAGTGCTGTGATCAAATGGGGGGAGCACCAGCTCATTAGGAGAATGGAGGAAAGGGGTAAGTACATACAGGTGCCAGGAATGATGTTATGATGAAAATTAACGGATTGATTGCCCCTTGGTTCTGTTTTATGCATCAGTGAATGCATAAGTTTGTTTGTTTGTTTGTTTGTTTTTTATTCAAAGCTGAACAGTGGCCTTTGATGATTACATGATCACATTTTTAAGTTTCTTTTTCTCCGAATAAATGATTTCAAATTGTGTTTAGATGCATGATGTACTTTAAATGATATATAATAGTTGGGATTATGAAGAATTTTTGCATAATGTATTTGCCTTTGTGGCCAAATATTTGAAATTATCTGTGGAGCTCAGTGGCACTTTAAAGATGCACTTAGCATCATCAGCTTAAAGCAGGTAGCCAAATGACAAAATGATGTTATTTGTGGTTAAATGTGATAGGTACTTTTCACCACCTTAGTTTGCTTTTTGATCCAGCACTATTTTTGAGGCTTCCCTATTTTGTAACAGTTTAGCACCTGTTTGGCAGATAGCCACAGGAAGGCATTTTCTTTCCATCTGATAGGCAACCTTGGACCCTATTAAATGAGATTTCTGGTAAAGATACAACAGCTTATTTGCCAGCTTGTTTATCTTAATGTTTAAAATATTTTTGTTTCAATAAAAACTTACTCCTTAAGGAAAGTTTGTGTATTAAAATAGCACTACAGTGCAAATGACGCATATGCCCATCCCATATGTATATTTAGAAAACTTTCCAAACTTTCATAGATTATTGTTATTGATAAGAGACTATTCCCTGGATTTATTTACGACGTCAGCATTGAAATGTATTGGTTTTATATGATGAGGCTTGTACAGTAATGATTACTTTATGGTACATTTGCACGAAGGCTTTTATTTTCCCTCTGTCATGAAAAAAGGTAATGACTGTCGATTTTTTTCTTCATTCTTGGCACAATTCCAATCAGAAACTTTTGGCAGCAGGTGATATATTGGAAAGTGACTGCAACATGGAAAGCAGTCATAGTATTATGAACTCTTCGTGGTTTAAAGAATCTTGTGCAGTAATTGAAATTTTGCTTTTTTGCCCCTTCTGTCTTCTTAATGTCTGTAAGGATTCAGCCCCAAACTTTGACTGTAAAACTTGAATACATTCAATGTTAAATGAAAAAAAAAATGATTGGATGTTGTAAGTTTTATAATGCTTAAGATATTTAATATTTCCTTTTAATGAAGAATAATGAATCTTTTGATCTCTCCAGAACCCAACCTTCTGAGTCATACAGCCCACAGTGTCACAAAGAAAGGTGTGAAGCGACGAGATCTGAATGACACAGAGCTGCGTGAGATTCTCTGTGAAGTTCTCCCATATGTGCGCATGGGGCACATAATTCCTCCAAACAACGACGTGCTGAATGGTGCCATTAAGCGCGGCCTAGTTAGTGTCCCTCCTTCTCACATGATAGGGGACGACGTAGGCAGCAACTACAACCGGATGTGTTCGTGGATCAGGGGGAAGAACAGCGGAATGTTTATGAAACCGCGGTTTTTCACACCCTACTTTGAAGAGGCCAAGGTAAGCTTTAACAAGCAAAGTAGTAAAAAATCTCTTTGGGAAGTATCAACAGCTTTACCCCATCTATATCTTTAGTGAATATTAAGAAGGCTTTGTTTTTGAGAAAGGGCAATTTTTGCTTGCATGTCATATTCTTGTGCACTTTATTACATGATAGTACTTAACATCTGTTCTCAATGTGCACAACAGTCCATTTTATTTATGACTTTTATACATGCATTAATCTAAGCATGGTGTAAAAGCAGAGTTGAGATGATCATTTTAGATGCCAAATACAGAAAAACAATTCACATGGCACTTCAAATCTTTGCATAATTTTTTTAAATCTTTTCTTATTTAGTCTCTGCTGGATGAGCATACTGCCCAGTTACAAGATAATGAGATGGCTCGTCTCCGCTTGGTCCATATGTCCTCTATCCCAGACACACTGTACATGGTGGACGACAGGGCGTCCTGCCCACCCTCGCCATTCCCCATCCACCACCCTGTGTATGCCGCTGCCACTGTCGATATCATTGCAGGCACTATTCCAGGTATGAGAACATCTCAGTATAGACTGAGAATAGATATACACTCGACCACAAAAGTTCAGAAACATGAAATTGTTTTTCAATAATTTAAAAAATATGTAATAGGGAAATCTTAGTGTATATATGAAAGGTTTTGAATGGTGGGTGCATTATCTTTCATTATTTGGTTAAAGTATTTACCTTAGCTCAAATGGTTATTTTATGATTATTCAAAATAACAATGTTTCTGAACCTTTTTTCGGAGAGTGTCTAATGACTATGTAATGTAAGCTGCTTTGTTAAGTTTGCGGAATTTCTCTCGGGGATGAAGTGTTAGTGTTTTTTTCTATTAAATCCTGTGTATGTGACGTTAGTTGCCATACCAGTCTATTTGATCCAGGGTAGGAAATTCCAAATACATTGCCATCTGTCAAACATTGTTTGTCAGACTTATTCAGTGGATGTTTGCATAAATGTTTGATTTAAACTGTTCTACGGACTTACTTCTGACATGGTAATGATTTATGGACTAGGTGTACATAGCTGTCAACAGAGATATTGACCTATCTAAACTCTATAGAGATGGCCGTATGAGGCTGAGAACTGTTGATGGATGACATGGCACCATATAGGTGTCAATAATGAACACATTAATCACAGAGATATCATTAATGAGGCCCTAGAAACAAAATGTCTCAAATAATGTTTCTGCTATATTGAATGTTTTACAGCATTTGTCAAAAATTCTATTTTCACCTTGATTTAGTTCCAAACCGTGAAACCATTGGGCTCATGGTGAAAAGAGAACAGGAGATACAGCAAAGCCGCCTAGTTCAGAAGGCCTACTCCCTTCCCTGTACAGACCGCAGGGCAGTCAACCACCAAATTCAGCTGAGGGTCGTCAGAGAATTTGGACTTCCAGATTCAGCAGTTGAAATATTACAGCATCCCTACAGGTAAATACGTCTTTTGACTGAAATTGTGTCCCTGTTTAAAAATGATTTTAAAAGCTTTTAAAAGCAAGCAAACATTAAAACCACTGCAAAAAGATTGTATATTTTGAAGTACTTAAAATATCATTAAAATGTAAAAAATTGAAATTGATTTGTGTGGATTTTGAAATATTCAGATTAATGTATTACATGATTTCAAATCTAATTATTTGATAATAACATAATTGATTTTACTTGCACCATTTAATTCTAAGTTTAAGTGCACTGATAGTTGCACTGCCCCATCTCATGTATGCCATATATATTGACTTTTGACAGGTTCCAAATGGATGAAGCCTCCAGAGGAGATGCCCTTCCAGGAACCCCCAGAATATCTAGTCTACCCCATCGCCGACTGAAGCAAGTCACACCTCCGTCTCCGCTTATGGGAGCTTCCAGTTGGTCATACAGTCCAAGGTCCTACAGCCCAAGATCCTATAGCCCAGTTGAGGTAAGAGAAAGAGCACATTTTATCTTTAATATGGAAGATTTGCCTTCAGAATAATAGATGAGAAGGTGGGGCAATATTGATCACATTTAGTGATAGTTCCAGTTTCACTTCATCTGTTAAGTATCCTTGTCTGAAATTTCCATAGCTGAATTTAAATCTGAAAACACAGGCCCTTATAAAAGTGATATTTAAAACTGATTTTCTCCATGCCCAGTGAGTACAGAATTTCTTTTTTCCAGAAGGAGGCCAGCAATGGCAGCGACAGCGTCCTCAGTGACATCATGCCAGATATTGCCATGGCAACTGGAGCTGTAGCCCAGATGGCTCTTCACCCGGATCCTGAACCGCCACAAGGTGCACATGCAGAGAGCAGCCCCAGGGGAGGGGCACGTGGTGGGGAAGCGAAGCCAGATCTTCGGGAGAATGAAGGGAGTCCCCGAGGCGAGATGAAACTCGACTTGGGAGATGGAAGTCACTGTGGTACTATGTACATATAAACTATTGTGAGGCAGCAGTTTAAGTTACTTCATATTCATGAGGCATATTTTGACATATATACGTCATTTCATTCAAAGGATTTTTTTTTTTTTGACTAATTTTTTTTTTTTTTTTAAGATGCAGCAAATGCAATTTTCTCAAGATCAAACAGTTGTGGTTTCATTTTTGAGACTTAGAATTTTTTAGGACCACTCCTTAATTTTACCATTAATGAAATTAATGGGTTGAGTTTTATGATCACAGTTTTACATGTTAAACTGTTCTTATTGTTTGATTGAAAAACAAGTGGAACTGACCCAAATGATGGTTGTGTTAGTTTCAAAATACAGTTATTTCCTTAATCAAAAACCAATCCCTCTAAATCTCGCTTAAAAAATTTTTAAGATGGAGGAAATCTCTCAGTGCTAAAGAATCTTTTTTGATGAACTTAATCTGTACTCGCATAAGCACACAAAAGTTTCACAAAAATGCTTTCAGTAATTTGGATGGTAAAATAAAAATTTCAGTTTTGCTTATTGTTTTTGCTTTAAAATTTGACTAATTATAGCCTCAGCTATACAAAAATAATGTTAGATTGATTCTTGCTTATATTCATATCCACCCATTCAAAGGAATAACTTTAGAGAATGTGATAAGTTTTATAAACCAACACTCAGCTGCATCAGATGAGTGAACCACTACTTATTGTTACATGTACAGGAATACATTACTCCAATCAACTGGATATAACGGGTTATATATATTTACTGTCGGCACTCATTTGGCAATCTGTATAGGCTGCACTGTTCACTTGCTACGTGCCACTTACTTAGGCGGTCTTTTGTCTCCTGTCTGTCTTAAAAAAGTATTTATGATTTTTTGCAGCATTTTAATCAGGCATTATGCTGGAAATGACGTCCACAATAGGATAGGATTTATACACTATTTTATTAGCATTACAATACTTAATTCAGCAGCTTGAGTGGAATATTATTTGTGCAGATGAATATGACATATCAGGTACAAGTTTTCTATTATTTGACTAGTCATGGTATTGGGCAATATGTATACAGATTTGATAAATGTGCTAAACTGAGGTGATCTGTTAGCTGCTCCAAAAAGTATGTCAACGTTTGAATCGTAGAGTAATTTCCTCTGCAGTTGGAATGAAAGCATTGCTATTGTAAATAAACGATGCAGATACTGCATCTTTCCATATTTTTGTAAAAGTAATGTAAGCTGTTGTGAAGCAGTATTGTGTGATAGCTTCAATGGTACTCGATAAACAATAAAGCTACTATGATAAACAATTTGGTTTTTATTCCATGCCCAAATAATACAAGCTGTTGCAAAAGTACAGTTTGGTGAGTCATCATCACCTGCTAGACATCGTTTTTTCCATAATCAAAGTTGTAGAATTACTATTTAAATTGCTCTTATCCTTTTTGCATCGGAACTGAATGAGAACTGGCTCGACAATACAACATGTATCTTTTTTTTTCCGAATGGATAAAAATGGACCTCCATGATGTTTGTTTTGCAAATAGATATTCTTTGTTTCAAAGACTGATTTTGAACAAACAAGACGATCTGTCCTAAAGATGGCAGAAGACTCTGAGGAATAACATAGACAAAATGTATATTTCCATAAAAATTTTCCAAAAAAAAAAAAAAAAAAAAAAATTCCCAGCATATAGCCCAGCTATTTGTTTTCAAAACATACATATATATAAGCAACTAACACTACACTTAAATCATAGGAATGCCTTAAGCACAATTTTCTTATATTTCTGAGACAAAGTATTTACTGGAATATAAATATCTAAATAAATAAGCATGTTATGACGTGAATAACTTTTTACCATTTATACACAGCAATTGTTTTCAATTTGATTCTACGGTTGGCTTTGTCAACTGATTGCTGCCATATAAACCTTAAAGCCTGGTTAATAATACCTTTCAAATGTTTAAACTAGAAAAGTTGTGGCCCTTACATTGATAATGATGGTATGTCCCAGCAGTGTCACACAAGAAAAGCTGTCACTATTACAATCCCATGCATTCATCCCCGAAAACACCTTGTGCTGGTTACAGTTTATCAAACAAACAAATATATGAACATTATCAGATATTGAACAGTGTACAAATATAATGATACTCATAAAATTTGCAGTGCCTTGTTTCTTAAAACCTGCTGTTTGTATTAGCAAATCTAAAGGAGCTCAATATCTGTCTCAAAATTGATAATTAGGTATGTATATTCCTATAAATATTATGAAATAATCATTTGTCTTTTGTACATGAAATGAACGGCTGCTTCTGTGAGTCTATGGGAGCGTTCCTATAAACCTCTCATACTAGTTGGATTGCTCTAACTCTGCGGGAATTCTCGCTAAATTGCATTCATTGTAAATGGCTTAAATGTCTGGCATGCCTACTAGAGCTGATAGGGGGTAATTAACAATAGCTAATTACTCCCTAGTTACTCAAGGGGCTCTGCCAGACAAGCATGATGATAATACTGAAAGCACTAAAGCCAGAAGCCCCACAGAATTAGATTGATCCACCTAGTATGATGGGTTTATGGGAACACAGTCTATGATGCATGGAGATAAGGTTCCCGCTGCTATATGTATACTTGTGCTCCTGAGAGACTGTCTGCAAATGGCTTCACCAAAAGTCTTGTGGTGAAATAGAACACAATACCAAACAATATAGATATTGGGAGAGCTGGCAGAGCTTTCTTGAAAACTGCCAGCAAAATCAGTGTGAAAGACAGGCCCTGAAATGAAGGAAAACATCATATTCAAGAGGGCATTTCCCAAATCAAACTAAATCACAAATTTAACCTTTTTGATAGTTTCATTTGTAGGATGCTAATTAGTAAGAAATCATTTTTTTAATTCAGTCCATTTCAATGAGGTAATTGAGAAAAGACTTAAATCACTTACTATTAATATTGCAACAAAGCAAGCTAGTGTTGTGTTCCAGTCTCCATAAGAAGATGCTTTGCCAACAAGAATACTGTAGAATATAAAGTCTCCCAATCCCAGCTTCACTCCACCTGAAAAGACAGAATAAGTCATATCAAACATCTACAATAATATCATTCCAACATGGATACAATACATAAATCTGGGGAGTTTAAATACACTCAACTACTCATGTCCCAATATAACAGCAATAATTTTGAAACTGCAAAGCACTAGAAAAATAATTTAAATGGAAATTTAAGGTTCCTTCTCCTTGGAATCCCAATAAATATTAGACCAGGCCCCTAATCCACAAACATATTAAGTCAGTTGTAATGTTAAAATCATAGCTGCCACACATACATATAACAAAGAATCTAAATGCCCACCGATCCCTTTTTTCCACCTGTGAACAAAGTCCCTCAAGCAAATTGTACTTGTTTTGAGTAGGATTTTTTCTATAACTGGTCGCATTGGCCCATTTATGTATGTCAAATGCACTCTGCATACCTAAGCCATCATTTGAAACTTACACCATTACTGCAAAGTGAACTTCTGAGTAGAAGGCTATTCAGTTTTAGCTATGAAACATACCCCATTTCATACATTTCAATTTTTAATATATTTAAATGTCATTGATGTTCTTCTTAAAATGATATTCTTCACTATTCTATGTGTAGCGTCCAACTTCTATTTAAAAAAATTATTATTATAATCATCATTATTTTATGATGCCTACGTTCTTCTTCTTCCTCCTCTGAAGGCTGTTGTGCTGCAGGCCTTGCTGGTCTCTCACTGTTCTGACCAATGTTGGCCACTGCTGTGCGTGCTCTTTGAGATTCTGTGCTTACACTCGACTCTGTTCGTCTATGGTCATCCGATGTTTGTTGGTTCTGCCAGTTCAGATACTGGTTATTTCTTTCCTGTGAACGTTCTTGGGATTCGTTGGACCAGTTGGTAAATCCACCCTCATCGTCATCTCCAAATGTGGCATTTGAACCATTTGCAGAATTTTGCTCAAGAGGTGCTATTTGTTTGAAGTAAATAAAAGAGAAAAAAAAACAATCAACCAATCGGATCTTATAAGCACCAAGTAGCCTGACAAGGAGTAAGAACTTAACAGTTAAGAAATCAGTGCCTAAGTTACACTAAACCACTCACTTTCAATGAAAAAAAAAACAAGTTAGCAAGTACTCTCAGAGAAATTAAACTAACTGGTAGAATCCCCTGAATTAGTTTTCGTCTTCTTTTTCTTCTTCTTTTTCTTCTTGCTGTCATCTGGATTGCTATCTGCCATTGTGGTGGTCCAAGCCATGGTGGCTGGAAAAAGTATACTTAAACTATTATCTTAATATTTCCTTTAAAGTTACAGTTCTTCATAGAGTTGTGTTGCTGTCAACTGAACAGAGCAGGATCCACAGGTTTACAATATATGAAACTTAAAATCCTGGAGTTCTGTTTTCTCCTTGAAATGTAATTACTTGATTAAATGTTTTGGATGCATTGGTTCGCTGTGTGTGTGATATCTATCATTTTATTCTTGTGCTTATGATTTTCTTGTAAAGAATTCTAAATGCCAAATACCTTGCTGTGCATAGCCCTAAGTATATTATTTTGTATCCAAGGTTACAACTATTCTTACTTTGTTAATTATAAGATCAGAGGGACAATTTATCATTGTGTGCAACCTACATTGCATAATCTTATCTATTTTAAATACATCCATTTCATCTGACAATAGAACTAATAAAACTAAAAACTGTCACTTACACGAATAAATAAGGGCTGGAAACAAGGATTCATTTCTCTCATGAGCTGTCTCCACCAGTATTCTCAAGGGACCTTTGGGGCACAACACTGCCACAAGATCTAAAACACAAACAAATCCTTGCCAACTTTTTATCCAACAGGCTTTGATGGGCAGAACAAAAATATGCATGCACAATAAATGCATAGTGCAGCTGACAACAGGCTACAGTTTTCCACGTTCTTTAATCTCCATTCAGTATTTTCCGAAAAGATTTTCTTATAATCTATGTTCCACACCACAAGTCACAAACTCAAAAACAGTTCAACACAAAATAGTACTCTTCTTAAAATCTATGACAATATTTTGGCGCTTGGTCATACTTCACTGACCCCAGATGGAAAGCATCCCCAGGACTGTCCAAACTGTCCACTCTGGCAGGTACTTGATAAAGGTGAGTGCTGTGAGAGCACACACCACGATGAGGTAGGCTTGTTGTAGACGTAGTGGTCCCTTCCAGTGAATGCACACCATACCCATAACACCAAAATTCCACAAGCATATGGCCAGTGTTAGATAATCCATGGGGACATTGCAGGCTCGGAGAAGTTCACTGAAATTGACATACAGATGGGATGTCTCATCAATGGTGTTATAGCGTAATGATTGATATTTACCTTATATACCCTTCTGCCTATTAATTCTTTCAAAAGTACAAGCAAGATCTGTTACATTGTTAATGCTTGTATATTTTTTAAAATCTTTTTTAATAACATTCATCTTTTTAATAACTGTATTTATTTAATTTACTCAAAGTTTCAGAGATGATGCTTGTTGCCTTCTTATTTATCACATTTTTACAAATGCATGCAAGCAGCCCCTCAATGGTATAGTGAAACAGAAACCATACTGTTAAGGAGTTATGAAAATAAAGAAGCTGATACGTAATAATCTAAAGCTATCTAAATGCCATCTACTGCCAACCAGGTTCTTTTCTTTTCAACATGCTAGGCAAAAATGATGATTTAACAAAGATTTTCTCTATAAACAGAGTAAACTTACCCTAGGTAAATGTAGGCAAAGAAGAAGAGCAGTAACAGTGAGGAGAAGATCAACCAGCCGTGTATGAACTGAAATTATATAAAACATGGGCATAATACCAAGCAAGAGTTCAAGGACTACATTCATTTTCAATTATATTGTTTCTTTATTTATATGCTATAACAATTTTAAAGTTTTCATAATTCATAAAAACCAAAGACAGGAGGTGAACCTAGAGAGTAATACCCAGGGCAAAATTAAACGTTAAGTTCTTCATGTATGAATTGTGTCACTGATATCGACTGAACACTGTAGGAGATAGCTGAACAAAATTTCATAGCACTAAAACAGCAAATAACATTTTCTTTATCATTTTACTTATTTAAACTATTTATAAAAAATTTAATTAAACAAAAAATAAATTAAAATGTAAAATCACAAGAAAAATACCACGGAACCCAATATGTTAAGGGTTTTACAAGATACAGTTTTGTAGAATTTGAGCAATATCGTACAGGTCTACAGACAGGCAAACTCACTGATTCTATTTCTGGTATACTCTGTGCAGAGTGGAAAAGTTTAGACATATAACCTTGAACTTATTAATGTACCTACCTTGTAGCATCTATACTTGTAAAGAACCACAAGAAAAACTGTAAGTACAACCACAACTCCCAGCAAAATGAAAGCATTAGCAAAGGACTGCCACACTAAGGTGCCTTCATCATCTGTATCATCATGAAATGGGGTGTAGATGCTGAAAATGAGAACAAAAACCCTTACAAATGATTTCACTATAATATGATATTTTTGCAACAAAGTTCCAAATTCCTAATAATAAGATGAATTTCAAAATGTTCTGAACACAAACTGAACATTTTGAAAATTGTAGGAAAGATTCTGTCACAGTTATATTATGAAGAGAGTCGACAAATTAATTTAATTAATACATAAAGTCAAGACAGCCAAAGAGGAGTAACAACATAAGTGATTTGACAAAACTGATACAAATTTAAATACCTGTTGATACTAAATGAACACTCAAATAGCAAAAGGATATCTTGCAAAAAGACAATATGACACAAATGTGCAACACAAACAACTTGACTGTAGGCAAATGAGTGGAGGTGTTGCGGGGTTTGAACAAGCCACCCTTCAGACCTAAAATATTGATCTAGTTTCTATGCTGTTATGGTAAAAAAGGCCCCCATTTGAGATAAAGACCAACACTTTTAAAATTGCTGGCTACAGGTCTGTTTAACTTTTAAATTGACAATAAATGAACCCAAATTAGATTTTGATACACTTACAGGTACCCTTGTGGTGTTGTGTAATATGTCACAGAGCTCACAGTGACCACAACTACCAACATACAGATAGTGACTGGAACAAACACCATGATCACGTGCTTGGCGCCATATTTCAAGGTCTCTTCTTCCTCCTCTGTGTCGGAGTCTTCTGTTCTTCGAGCAGCTCTCCTCTCTGCCTCACCACTAGTTGGCCTGTCAGTGGTATCTGCATGATCCTGTAAGTATCATTGTATCATAATTTAAGAATTTGTGTGAAGTCAATAAAAACTTTGCTTATCAGAAATATTATATTTTTCCTTGTCATTTTATTGTTTTATTGACAGTTCTTAAAATAATTTAGATGTTTTGTAAGACGCAATGATATTTTAATGAAATTTATCACTTATTATATTATTATTATTGTTATTACTATCATTATTATCTACAACTATTTTTCACTTTCAGTTTTCAACCCTGTAAATCCTCCCAAATACTTTCCTCCACGTTTTCTTTTTGCCTTATCAGGAAAACAAATGATGTCACCAACAGGAAACATGCCAAGTTTCAAGTTAAAAATAACATTCATGTCCTTTTCCACAAAGCGTAATACTTTCTATTTAGACCTTATTTCTTGTCCATACTGAACACAGAAATACCTGCACAGAGCTGCTCCTTAACCTGGCAGCATCCCTGGGTAACACTTCCGTTTGGGTCGACATCAGTTTACTTCTTTCATCAAAGCTGTCTTCTTCGTCACTCATGAATTCCTCAGAGTTTTCAGTTACTAGAGATGTTAAAGAAAGTTCTCCTTAAGAAATAAAAAGAAAAAAGTTTCAGCTTTATCACTTGATTTCTGTAAGACTCAAACTAAAATACTAAGCCAACCAAGTGCATCTTGATATTGATGTTTCAAGATTGCATACTGGTAAGTGTGGAAGAACTACCTAGGTAGAGGCAACACCTAGGCACTGGATTTTTTTCCTGAAATTTCAAAGAAATATGCAAAGCTGTGACAATGTTCGTCTGAATAATTATGCTCTTGCACTTTCAATTGCAGTTTATTATATTTGCTTTAGAGTTCGACTCTGAACTTGATAATCTTATCTAACATTCACCGACAAGACTTGGTGTCGCCAAGTCCAAAAAGTGTCATTTTAAACCCTTATCTCTCACTTTTTACACTATAATTAATATGCAATAAGCAAATAAAAGAGCAAGAGTGTGATAAATTTGGACAAACCGAGGATTTGGAAAGAGTGACTCATTCGGGTGGAAGAATGAAGTAGTTTTCATATCCCGACTAGAATCGTTAACTCACACCATCAAGTTTCGAAATATAAGTGTGGTGTTATAATGTTTTTGTACCACACCAATCAAACACTGTCGGCTAATACAAAACAATCCACGCGATTTCTGGGGATTTTCAATACTTCCTTAATTGACACTGCTCAGCATCCGTCAAGTCGCTTTTGTTGTAAACAAAGGCAATGACTCTCTACTTGTTCAACTTAGATAAAACAGTTAACTATCGATTAACATTTACGATCAATCTTGCTATTCGCTCTACAAACTTTTCGTTTTGTTCGATCTGTACTTACAAGGGAATTTCTCTTCAAACCTAACACAACCGATGCTCGTTCTTTGCACCGTGAATGTGTCCAAGATGGCAACCGATTCACTTCCGCTTACGTCACTCCTAGGAATAACTACTCCTTGTCCCCGCCAGTAAATCCTCTTACAGGTGAATACCCCCCCCCCCCCCCCCCCCAAAAAAG